AAAAACATTTATATTATGTTGAAACATATTTTGAAATAATGGATTATCCGTGAAAACATTTAATATTGAAAATCACATCGGATTATTGGCAAACGGGCATTTCATGCAAAAATCGACCTTATGGATGTTGGATCGCAAATTGTTTGTTTACTGTTGTATCTGTCGTTTTTAGTTGTTAATCTGAGGTCACTACCGTGATTTGAAGCATCTGTCAAAATTCCAAAAAAAAAGAATATTGGTACGCAGCTCTTCTAATGTAGACTATCGAAAAGGAGCCTAGAACATTGAAGGCTATTGAACTAGCCTTTGTCCGACCCAACTGCATTTTGCTGGCAATCTTGGAGTCCGCATAAAGTAAGGAATGCAACTGCACAGCGCAGTCTAACGAATTGTATGACTGAGCATGCTTTACGGTATAGTAAACCACAGTTATTTCGGCAGCCAATACTTTTTCCTGCACACTGTCCATAACATCACGCGGCGTAAAAAATGACTGAAGTGTCTGATTCTGTTTTACTAATATTTCATGCCTTTTATGTTCAGCTCCCAAAGCGTGTCGCTTTATCTCTCCAAGGCCTCCATAAGCAAATGAAAATTTTTTTACACAGCATACAATACGCTTTTGACAAACCATCATCTTCTTTAAGCCGGTTAATATGGCCACCCTAAGATTTTTTCTAACTATATAGGACCAAATTTAAATTTTCAAAAGTAAGTCTCTTATTTCGGATATGACAGTAGTCTGGAAATATATTTGAATCAATACTTTCAATAATTCAATGAAAATGACACATGTTTCTTAGGTTACTAAAAAAAAAAACTATTTCGCATAATACCAACATGGGGTTGGTAATATGGCCACCCATAAACCAAGCAAATTTTTATGCCTAATGCCCGTATTACACCTGTGTATTTTTCCGTGTATTTATTTATGTAGTTCAGGGTGACAACCAAAAAACTTCAAACGCAACATAAATCAGCATTATGAAAAACAAAATAATGTTGGCACCCTGAACTACATGAATAAATACACGGAAAAATACACAGATGTAATACGGGCATAAATACTGGAACATATTTTTCACAAGTTTTATTACTGAATTGAATAACAGATAAAGCAGAAGCTACAAAAAATCTTATTCATCACAATCAGGACAAATAGTAGAGTGTATGGATTGAAATATTCGCTCTAAAAATCGATATAAGGTCTTAGAAGGTAGTATTTTTTTATAATCATTCAAAAAAAAAAAAAAATACCATTAGCTCTTATGGCTGAAAAAAACTTTAAACGTAAATATCTTGGTATCAACCGTGCAAAAATTTGGTTAAAAATAATCTTTTTTAAATATACCTTTCATTTAACAAAAAAGGAAGGCCTAAAAAAAATCTTTATAAAAGTTTCGCTTCTGTATTAACCATATAACAGTGCGAACCACATAACAGTGCAAACCACATATTTTTTGCTTCTAAATTAACAAAAATATTACAATAAACAATAAGAGATGTCAAGGGTTTCTGGGAGAGCAAGATCTGACCGCCGAGTTTCTCGACTCGTTATGCATCTCTCTCAGTGTCGATACGTATGGGATCTCTTTCACTCTGTTCAGGCGAAGAATGTTTCATAGGGTGTATGGTGTATTACTTTATAATTTGTTTTTGAAGAAAATAAAAAATAAGATAAATTAATCATGCTAATCATATTATCAAAATACATATATACAGGGTGGAATTTTTAAATGGAAAAAATCCAGTATCAGAAAGCCTGTTGATTTTCTGGACAAATTAAAAAAAAAAAAAAACGGGTCCCTTTATTTTTAGTTTGGCACATTTTTTCGGCATTTTCATGGAATTTACTCTTTTCTTAGGGGTAGAAACCACCCCCAACTTTTTTTTTTCAAATGAAGAGATATGTATTGTGATAGCTCGTTGGAATGGTCATAAAAAAAGGAATATGACCCATTATTTACTTTAGCATTTCGGTGATCTAGTTATTTAATTATTTTTGAGGTTAACACACTATTTTAGGGTTGAGAATCCGAGTATCAGGTATCGAATAGTGTGGTAACGTCAGAAATAATTACATAACGTTACAAATGGGACTAGTTTCGCATTAGGGTTCTATCAAGAAAAAAATATTGAAGATATTCAACAATTTTAACTGTGAAAAAAATTGTGTGGAAGAATATGTTTTTAATTTTTTCTCGCTTTCTAGATCACCAAAATGCAAAAGTAAATTATGGGTCATTTGCCTTTTTTTATGCTCATTCCAACGATCTATCACAAAACATATCTTCACATTTGAAAAAAAAAGTTGGGGGTGGTTTCTTCCCTTAAGACAGGGGTAAATTCCATTAAAAGGCGAAAACAAGGTGCCAAACTAGAAATAAAGGGACCCGTTTTTTAAAATTTTTCCAGAAAATAAACAGGCTTTCTGATACTGAATTAATTCCATTTATAGATTCCACCCTGTATGTGAAGTACAATATACCTTAAAACTAATCAGAATCTGATTAATTTTTTTCATTACGCGGATCAACATTTCCCAAATCCAAAACATTAGCGGCAGTGGTTAAACTATTTCTGCAGTTTTTCTGTGCCATACAGGTGCAGGAACCAATGCAGCCAATTTTTTTTTCCTGCATTTGCAAATTTTGATTCCACAGTCTAGGATAGAATAATTTTATTAAAATGTTGTACACCTAGGAAAATAAATCGCATTGTTCTACCTTTTCAGCATTTGCATGTCGTAAGTTCTGTTATGTCTGGTGGCAGGTCGGGCAGAGTCTTGAGCGTGGGTATTAGACTTCCGTCTTGATCTTCCTTCCATCCATACTCTTCAACATTAGGAAGCTTCATCTGCGGCTTTAAAGAGCTTAGCCAAATACGTAGCTGGTGAAAACACTAGCATCTAGCCGGCCACGCAGCATCGATCCCGAAGATGGACGATAATCGGTCGTCTTTGGCAGCAAATAAATAATAATAATTCAAACAGGACACGGGGTGTAAATAATAAGATAATTTCGAGTCGTTTTTTAAAATCTTACACTAACATGTTGGAAAAATTAGACCAATTAATTTACAGGAACTAATTAATACCGGGTGAAGCACGAAAAACTTTCCACACAGGTTTTCTCAGGTGTTAGTTAGGTGTTTAATCAAAAATCGCTCAGACACGTCGATTTTTGTTTTTTGGGGAACACATTTTATTGGTATTTTCACCCCCTACCTGTGAACCCCTAAGTGGGGGTAACAGATACCCCCAAAATTTCAAATGGAAAGAGGGGTCGAGTGATATGTCATTTAGTAGCTATTTTCATTGAGATTATATCCCCGTAGTTTTAAGTTGCTACTATTAATGCTGCCGAAATGGCGGCATGTCAAAGTTAAGATAAATGCTTTTTTTCGATAATCTAAGCTGCTGTGGGATCACGAAACTCGATATTCATTTAAGGTTTGTCATCTTTGCTCGAAAATCGAAAGTAGTTGTTCACGACATTCGACTGATCGATTTATTTCGATCGAAATGCCTCGACAGGTTCGGAGGTCTCGAATTAGGTTAAATGTCATCGTTTTGTCATGGTTTTGTCAATATGTAGTGAACAGATATAGTGAAAATAAAAATGTCACCAATTGTCCACGCTATTTTACACAGGCAAAGAAATAGACGTCGCCAGAATCTTCAGCTTATTCGACGAAGACAAGTTTTGAGGTACAAGCAGGAACCCTTTTCTCTTCCAGAGGCAAGATTTGTTGAGTTATTCCGTCTTAATAAACGACTAACTAGAGAACTCATACAATTGATAAGACCACATGTACCAGATAGAATTCTTGCTCGGGCAGTCACTCTAGACAACATGGTGTTATGCACTTTGGGATTTTATGCCACAGGCTCGTATCAGAGATGTATTGGTGAAGAGTATAATTTTGGTATAGCCCAAAGCACCGTGCATAAATATGTGCATCTTGTGACAAATATAATTATAGAACATGTCGTTCACCACAAAATCCAATTTGGTATCAGTGAGGAAGAACGAGATAATATCAAATTGGAATTTCTGCAAAAATGGGGATTTCCAAGGACTATAGGAGCTGTAGATGGCACTCATATTGCAATTTTAAAACCAAAACTTGAAGAATACAACTACATTAACAGAAAAGGTTACCACTCGATCAATTGTCAAATTATTTGTGATAGTCAGTTAAAAATAAGGAATATATTTGCAAATTATGGGGGGTCAACACATACAGTTTCATATGGAGGAACTCGTCCATTAATGATTATTTACAAACTCTTAATCCGAATGAAATGTGTTGGTTACTTGGAGATAATGGGTATCCTCTCTTACCATATCTTATTACACCAATTCGAAATCCAGTAAATGATGAAGAAGTTAGGTTCAATGAAGCACACGCTCGGAATTGTGTAGAAAGATGCATAGGTTTACTAAAAACAAGATTCAGATGTTTGTGAAGAAAATGTTGGAGTTCAAGATTTACCTCAACAAGAATTGGGCGATGTCGCTGAAGCAGGCAACGTGAATGGAAATCATGCACATGAAGATGTCGGTGACGGCCAAGCTGTTAGAGAGTTTATTATAAATAATTATTTTAGATAATATTCCAGTTTTTATCGAATTTATACCTAAATATAAAATAAAACAATACATTCACTACATTTTTGTCTGTTTTATTAACAGTAACATAAAATTAACTCTAATTTCTATCTAATTACTTAATCATGATAACCATTATGTATGGTTATTTGATAAGGATGTCCCAAAAGTTTAAAATATTTTTTTATTGGTAAAGGTGATAATTATTTCATTCATTATATTCATTTTTATTTCTCGTTTTTCGTACAGAAACAGCATTGGCAGAGTTTTTTAGATGCATTTTCTGCTATTTTTCCAACAGAATTTGAAATCTCAGTCTCCAATGTGCCTTCAATTTTTTTTTAAATCTCAATTGTCTCTGAATAAGCATTTTCTTCAACTGAATCTTTACCTCTCTGAATATGGGCAGTCGTTGGTTGCGTCCTTGCCTGTATCGTTTTTTAAACTCCCATTTTGTTCCTTGGTTGAGAAAACAGAAAGATCTGGAAGTCTACCCCTGAGAGTCTGTTCCAAGTGAGGAACTAAAACCTCAGATAAAACTGTGGTAATGTTATTTAGATTCCTCTGTATATCATCTCCTAATAAATAAGATTCTGAACATCCACTGACAGAACCAGATGACTCCAAAGCCTTTGTTGAGTGTTCACGTGTGATGTGGCAGATATTTTCATCAATCAATTTTGGAGTGGATGGTTCATTTCTGTTTTCATTAATTGGTGGAATTAAGGGAAATGTTGAATAAGATTTTGGCAACTGAAAATAAATTTCATTGAAAACATATAATCAAAAAAATATATGTTATAATTACACCAACTTCTGGCTCGTTTAGGCCAATAAAACTCGAACCGAGCAACTGCAATGCCCTCTCCTCAAACGGAGTCAATACTTTCGTAACTCCTAAACCACCTCCTGTTTTAGTTTGCTCCTTTTTAGTTTCCGCCGCTTTTTTCTTTAAATTATATTTCATGTCAGTCCATGTCTGAAAATATAATAATACAGTTACACATAGATAAAGCCATTCGCGTATTCAAGTATTTATCTCTTTCCAATTCATTAGATATATTTCTTAATCAAGGGTTATGATTTTTAAAATTTAGAATTTTTTGTGTGAAGTAGCATCATTTCATACATATTATTTTACCTTGAGATATTTATTACCTTCATCCATTTATCGGCAGTCTTAAACCCATATCCCACACTATTAAGTTTATCAGCAAGAATTTGCCACTTATCTTTGATGATTTTTTTTGCATTAGGTCCAGCAGCTCTTCCAGCAACAACATCTCGGTTCTTTTCTAGGAAATGAATAATAATTTCCAACTGCTTTGGATACAGCATTTTTGAAGTTATTTGTGGAAATTTGAAACAATTGAAATTTTGTGGGTACCTGTCACTCCCACTTAGGGGTTCACAGGTAGGGGGTGAAAATACCAACAAAATATGTCCTCCAAAAAACAAAAATTGACGTGTCTGAGCTATTTTTGATTAACCACCTAACACCTGAGAAAACCTGGGTTGTTTTTGGGCGAAATAATTTGAGCCCCATCATTGGGATCATGGAAACCGCAAGAGATAGGTACAGGGTCGGTTAAATTATGGCAAAGTTGCGCACCATGATGCCGAATAAAATGCCATTTCAAAATTTCAAATATTTCCCGAAAAATCACGCCTTTTAACTAAAATTGTGGATTAAAACTCGAAATCGTATTCATCGTGTTATAGCTATATGACGTATTTTAGAATATCAAAACGAAACAAATTATCCTCGTGAAAAAATGCCTTATGTAAAAAAATAATGATCATCCGTATTAGTAAAAGTTAAGTTAATGATGCCATTGGGATACCGAAACATCGAATTTTTCAAATTATCACCACAGTGAAGTCCACCCAAAAAGGCTTTAAGAAAGTTATTTGATTTTTCTTGATCTCTTGAAATAAACTCAGGAAAAAATAAAAACCAGAATCACAATTTTCGGAATTTTTTGGAAGTAAGGAATTTCTGAAATTTTGAAATGCCATTTTGTTAATCATCAAAATGCGCAACTTTGCTATAATTTAACCGACCCTGTATCTCTTACAGTTTCCGAGATCCTTATGATGAGGCTTGAATTTCAGCCACCCTGTACCCATAGATGATAAAAGTATAATGTATTTTATTATTTCGAATTATTATTATTATTATCAGTTAACAAAATATTTAAAGAATTTTTTTCAGCTTCCATAGTTGTAGGTTTTTCAATAGGATTTGTCTTCTTGGATTTTTTCTTTGTTGACCATAATCGTCTCTGGGCAATTATATTCTCATTGTGCAGCTTATTACATGATGGTAACACTATTTCTTTTAAATAATCTGTAGCAGCCAGTGTAGGTGGAAGGGAATCGACCATTTTTTCAATAATGCCCAATTTTTCGGTGGACATGTCGCCGCCGTAAAGGATTTGTTGGAATTTTGTCATTATTTTAACTTGTCTATCCTGCACTGATAAACATGTTTATTGTTTCTTTGATGGCTGCTAAATAATAATCTCTGTCTCATCATTCAGTTCGTCACAATCAAAAATAGTATATTAAAGTATAAGTGGATATTGTGGAATGCTAAATTCGTTGACACTTGCTATATTTTACTTGACGTTGTCTACAAGTACCTACCTACTCCTGACAAATCAATAATTAAAAAGTTGACATTAAGACCTTTCTCGGGCTGTTGGTTGTTGATGTTGTCATTAGTAACTTTAAAACACGCGCGTTTTTGAATGTTGGATTTAAACACGCTCAGGAGTACTTTAAATAAGTGAAATGGCTTATCAATAAAAAAAATTAATTATCTTCATCTTCCATAGTATCTAAAAGTTTAAAAATGTGCTGTAAAAAAAATAAAAACATATGTACTGAAAAAATGCAAGAAATTATTATTACAAACATACCATTGATAGATGTTATTGTAGTTTCATAATTGTCATTTTCCTTTTTATACTGGGCAAGTAAATGTATATGTTTGCACATATTAAATTTTATTGATGAATTCAGACATTAACAACAGTATTTGTGAATGCAAATATCGCAGTCTGAGCAAGTTAGTTGACAAGTACAAGACTCTCTTACTTCTTGAATAAAATAGGTTTCACTGGTAGTTGATGATGGTATTTCCCAGCCATGTTCAGTTCTCAAAATTGATGATGCATCCATGTTTTCAACATTCTTATGTCGATGGCGAATGTTCTTCAATTTATTAGATACTTTTCCTTTGTTAATGACAATCAGTCTATCAATAAGTTTGTCTCTAACAAATCGCATTAATGCTGCAATAACTTTGTCAAGTCTCTTTACTTTCTTTCCGCCCAAATAGATATACTTAATTGTCCTATGCATCCTTTCAAGATGCATATTTGTATTGAGCCCCGAATGCAATCTATAACAATAAGCCCAATTCCTGCAATTCACTTGATAATTGTTCCTAAAATAATCTACAAAATCTTTAGTGTCTGGATCTGACAGATCGTTACTTGTTTTTTTTTTTTTTTTTTTTTTTCTCAAAGGCTATTGCGTCTCTCTCCTGTAACAGTGTTCTTAATTGCTTGTAGATCATGACCTAAAAAAAGTTTATCCAGGAATACAGAAAAAAAGAATATAACAAAAACTACCTGCTTTTCCTTCTCCTTAACTTTTGGCAAATTTGTCCGCCAAGCTCCGTCAACATGCCAAGTACAGTATAGTCTAAAAAAAATTATTGTGTTATTTAATTTCATTTCAATATTGAGCAATTGAGCAATTGAGCAATATTTAAAATTAAATTTATGTTTAAAATACATATTTAATTTAAGTATGGTTATTTAGGTGTGCAACACATGGAAATTTTTTTTTAGTAATAGCACAATCAAAATAGAAACAAGGCCAAAAGTTGGTGCATGTCTGATAATCATATTAGGTGCACTTAAAATGGTTGCAAGTCAAACAGCATACAGGGTAGCTCAAAAAATATCAAAATTGTAGTAATATTTACTTAAATGAAATAAAACTTTTGCACTTCAAGGAGAGTTTTTTTAATATGCATATTATCATCAGTGATGTTTCAACTTGTTGAAAAAATAAATAAAATTGCGACATTTTAAAGTTGTGCTGAATATCATTGCAACAAACATAAATTTTGTGATTCCATAAAAAATTGAAAATCTAAGTTAATTTTACAAGAGTGCTTGAATTTGAACAAAGTTATGTAAAATTGATTTGGTTTTAATTAATTTTTGAAAGTATTAAGGGCGGAAATAAAAAAAATAGAAATTATAGATATTTTTCGAAAAAAGATAAAAAAAATCTTGGGAGACTATGTTTTGGTATTTAGGCATAACTTTTAATTCCAAACAACTTTTCTCTATAACATTTTGCTGAATTTTCTAAAATAAGGGTACTTTACAGTACAATTTTGATGTTTGAGTTAACCTGTATGCTGTTTGACTCGCAACCATTCTAAGTGCACCTGATATGATTATCAGACACGCACCAACTTTTGGTTTTGTTTGTATTTGGGTTGTGCTATTACTAGAAAAAATCCCCACATGTTGCACACTTAAATAATCACACTGTATAGCTAAAAAAATAATATTAAACAATTAAAATTTGAAATAACATGTAAAGGGCGATCAGAAAATAGAACAATATAAAGGGTATTTCCCAAGTACGGTTCGTAACTTGAGGATGTGAATCCTTACAGTATTATAAGAAAAAAAGTTCGCATAAACATGTGTCCAGAGATGTATAATCTCTTGAATACAGGGTGTCAAAGTTAAAAAAAAAAAACGTTTTTTTTATTTATGGCTCAAAAATATATTGTGAGGAATCACATCCTGAAGTTACGAACCGTACTTAGGAAATACCCTGTATATTATGTACGTCACTCACTTATGGCAAAAAGCGATTGAGTTGCGGGGTGAAACAAGAACAATTGCCTTAGATATATCTAAAGCATTCGACAAAGTTTGGCATGAAAATCTGCTCAACAAGCTCAAAGCAATGGGATTATCGCCGAAACTTTGCACTTGGTTTGAAAGTTACCTAAAGGACAGATCCATTTATGTGGCACTGGATGGCCAGAACTCCAACTCTTACCAAATAAATGCTGGTGTGCCACAGGAAGCAATCCTTTCGCCAACTCTTTTCCTGATTTACATAAATGACCTCATAGATAAAACAGTAAATCCACTTTATTGCTTTGCAGACGATGGCAATGTAGTCTCCTCACTCATACCACCCACAGGTCTTTCCGCACGTGAATTCCATCATCTTAGACTAACTCAAATATGGCAGATAAATAACGACCTGGAGATAATAGAGGACTGGGGTAACAAAAACCTTGTACAGTTCAACGCGCAGAAAACCCAAGCAGCTCTGTTTTCAAAAAAGCCCAGCACCGGTGAGCCAAACATCATGCTATCTGGAAGTGCTATCACATTACAGTCAGTTAAACATCTTGGGGGTTACTGCAGAGACCAACATGTCTTGGCACAGTCACGTGGCAGATATTGCTAAAAGAGCCTCCCAAAAGCTGGGGGTGCTATTTCGTACAAGACATCTGTACACACCAAGCCAATTGCTGACACTCTACAAAGCCCAGATTCGACCAACTATGGAGTACTGCTCACATATATGGAGTGCAGCACCCAAACATACCTTAATGCTTTTGAATACCGTGCAAAAACGAGCTATCAAGCTGATCAATGACCCCGCACTTACTCGTAACTTGGATAGTCTCGAACATCGCAGATCTGTGGGCGATTTATCTCTCTTCTACAGGTACTATCACGGAAAATGCTCTGAAGAGTTGGCACGTATGATTCCACCGAGAGTAGCACCTACCAGGCGAACCCGTCAAACAGACGGTAACCATGAATTTAGTGTCAAACTAGAGGCACCAAGAACCTCATTATATCAGAATTCATATCTCTGGAGAACAGCATCGCTGTGGAATAAACTCCCTGCGACGGTTTTCCCTGCAGGTTACAACCTGAACCGTTTCAAGACCAACATACACCGACATTCCGCGCACTTGCCGCTTCTCGAGCGTGATAGGACATTTCCTTGCGAGTGCGCATATCCGTAAAAAAAAAAAAAAATATTTTTCACTTTTCTGACCACCCTTTACATGCTGTTTCAAGTTTTAATAGTTTAATATTATGTTCTCAAGAAGCAGAAACTTTTATGAAGAATAACTTTTATCCATAAAATTGATAATAAAAAAGTTTTCCATATACTGTGAACTTAACTGTATATCCTACCTTTTTCCAGGATTTCCCATAGCTTGTAGCCATGCATTGAAATAACTTTCAGCTAGGTCTGACATAAAA